TCTCTCTCCTTCTCTTCCCCTCCTCCTCTCTCTCCCTCCCTCCACCCCCTCCATCTCTCTCCTTCTCTCCACACTCCTCCTCTCTCCCCCACCCCTCCATCTCTCTCCTTCTCTCCCCCTTCCTCTCTCTCCCTCCATCTCTCTCCTTCTAACTCCCTTTTCTTTATCCTTCTTCCCTGCATTCCTCTCCAACTTTTCTTTCTCTCTCTTTCTTCTCCCCTTCCCCTCTTTTCTTTTGTCCTTTTCCATCCATCCCTCCCACTTTCACCTTTCTCTCACTCCCCCTCCCACACAGAGGAGGTGGGATTTGCAGAAATCCCAGAGAACAGGAACAAAGGTTTAGGAATACAGGTGGCTGTGTTCACGTGCACGCACTGTCCTGTGATACCACAGCCCAAGGGCAGAATCTCTCAGACCCCACCTTATCTTGACTCACTTTCCCCACTTGTGCCTGGTGACCACAGGTTCCCCACCTCCCTAATGAAGTCCTGAGCCGACCAGTCCAGACGCAATTCCCATACCAACCACACAATGGCTCTGTGTCTCCAGCACACAGTCCTGTCTGAAGCGTTCACTGGGGTTCAACAAAGAATAGGTGTCCTGGTGTGGCACTGTAGGATAAGCACTGGACTGCTAACCACAAGGTGGGTGGTTCAAACCCACCAGCTGCTTCTTGGAAACCCTATACAGGGTCGTTATGATTCAGAACCAAGTCAATGGCAGTTACCAACAACAAACAATGAATGAGGAAGACCCACCTCATGTGTATCTGCGCAGAATTCATCCTCCTGAGATTCTCAAGGGCTGATTTTTTCAGACTCAGATTGCCAGGACTTTCTTCCGAGACTCCTACTAGCAGACTCAAACCTCCCGCCTTTTGCCATTTGCATCCCCCAGTGACTAACCAGTTGCCGCCATTGGAACTGTGTTCTCTCTGCAGGGGTTTCGGTGGCTAGTTTTTCCAAGCTCGAGTTAAGTGAGGACTCAGGCCGTGTCTGCCGGAAACCGCCAGCAAGAACAAAACACCTGATTTGCTTCAAATACCATTTGCATTTCAGGTCTATTTTTCTTTTCTTGGTTGCTTAAATTAGCCCCCTGTAACGTTTTCCTAATGTACAATGGACTGTTTTAGGGACGCCACGTATCGAATTCATAACCATAATGGGGGAACCCCAGCATCTGTCAAGATTTGTTTCCCTACGGCTGAAACATGTATATATAGATATTGAGTCCTGAACTAGGCAAATCTGCTGCACGAGACCTCTAAAAAGTGAACAAGAGCAAAGGTGTCAGTTTGAGGACTAAGGTGCACCTGACCCAAGACATAGTATTTTCAGTTGCCTCCTATGCATGTGAAAGTTGGACAATGAATAAGGAAGATTGCAGAAGAATTGATGCATTTGAGACATGCTATTGGTTGTTGTTAAGTGCGTCAAGTCAGTTCCGACCCATAGCAACCCTGTATAGGGTTTCTGAAGAGTGGCTGGTGAGCTTGAACCGCTGACCTTACAATTCAAACCAGCCTTGCAGTCCAGAGTGTTAACCCCCAGCACCGCATCAGAAGAATGTTAAAAGTACGTACCATGGACTTCCCAGAAGAACAAAGAAATCTGTGTTAGAAGAAATACAGCCAGAATGCACCTGAGACACCAGGATGGTGAGACTTTGTCTCTCATACTTGGGGACTTGTTATCAAGAGGGAGTAGTCTGTGGAGAAGGACATCATGCTTGGAAAAGGGGATGGTTGGAGAAAAATAAGACCACCAATGAGCTGGATTGGCACAGTGGTAGCAATGCGCTCAAGTGTAGCAACAATCGTGAGGTTGGCACCGGACAGGGCGGTATTTTGTTCTGTTGTGCATGAGGTCGCTGAGAGGCAGAACCAACTCGATGACAAGTAGCAACAAAAATATATTTATGTGTGTGTGCGTGTATATATATATGCACACATACATATATGTGTATATATACCTTTTTTTTTTCTCAAAGATATCTGGCCCAACCTGTGTGCAGGCACAGATTCTGAGCAGGTGTAACTGAAACTGAGAGCACGAGGTAGCTAACTGTCCCAGGTGGGAGGGTGTCCTCCTGCTATAGACCCAGGGGCGTGGGCAGGTCTCTACCCCGTCCTCCCAGCACAGAACTTAAATATGGATGTTATGTCCAGCTGTTGGTTTCTAGTGCTGTCCTTCGCAGGCCCCTGGCTCACAGGAACCCATGCACAACGGAACAAAAGCAATTGTGGATAGGATGCTTGTGAACCATATGGATTTTCACGGGCTGTTTTCAGAAGTAGATCTCCAGGACTTTCTTCCTTGTCTGTCTCAGTCTGGAAGCTCCGCTGAAACCTGTCAGTCAGGAGTGACCCTGCAGGTATCTGAAATCCTGATGTCATTGCTTCCAGCACTCTATCAGACAGTGTTCTATTGTGAGCCACAGTGTTTATCACTGGCTGATTTTCAGATCTAGATTGCCAGGCCTTTCTTCCTAGTCTCTCTTAGTCTGAAAGCTCTACTGAAACATGTCTTCCATGGGTGACCCTGCAGGTATCTGAAATCCTGATGTCATTGCTTCCAGCTCTCTATCAGACAGTGTTCTGTTGTGACCCATAGTGTTTATCACTGGCTGATTTTCAGATCTAGATTGCCAGGCCTTTCTTCCTAGTCTCTCTTAGTCTGAAAGCTCTGCTGAAACCTGCCCACCATGGGTGACCCTGCTGGATTTGAAATACCAATGACATAGCTTCCAGCACCAGCCCTCTATCACACAATGTTCTGTTGGGATCCATGGGGTTCTTATGGATTTATTTTCAGAAGTAGATCCCCAGGACTTTCTTCGTAGTCTGTCTCAGTCTGGAAGCTTGGCTGAAACCTGTCCAGAATCCCAGCCACATGCCAGCCTCCACAGACAGACAGATGGTGGCCCCATGTGAGTGGACTTGGATGGAATTTGCAGGAAAGGAGGGAATTGTACCACTGCCCCCTCTTTCTGTCTTAGTCACTTTACTGTTTTTCGAAGGGACCAGCACATTGGGGTCACACCCAAGAAGAGGAGTCCTGTGAGTTAGGAGGTGGGGTCCACCCAGGATTTGGATGATGGCCGAGACCTGTCCCTCAGCTGTCAGCGGTCACCTCTGAGCTCCACACCAGTGCCAGGCAGCGCTTTGGAGCTGGACACACATGTGGGTCAGAGCCAGACGGCTGGTACCACCTCCCACTAGCTTTGAGGAACCGGGGAATGCGCCCACTTCTGCTCCGTCTGCTGGATTTCACATCTCACAACCCAGAGGCTGGGGTGAGGACAGGCAGAGTGCTTGGAGTAAGGACCCAGCCTTTATCTCATGGCTGTGAGAGCAGCTCCTGGTAGTACACTCAAATAGACAGTGAGCAGTTTTAGTCAGCCCAGAGGTGCCTTGCAAGAAAGACCTGGAGATCTACTTCCAGAATATCAGCCCCCGGAAGCCCCACGGAGCATAGTTCTTCTCTTCTGCCACACAGGGGCACCATAAGTGAGATTTTATTTGACTGCAAAAGGATTTAGATTTAAAACAACAACAACAAAAATATCCAATAAACTCCTTTATAGGAAAGCAAGCCTTGGAATGGGATTGAGGTGTGAGAAAAGAGGTGTGTCTGTCTTTTCTTGTTCTCAAGGTCCACTCTGTGTCTTGTTCCTGTAGGATTTGGGGTTTGGGATTGACATCGTATCTTTCGGATGCTTTCAGGTAGGAAATCCTGGTGGGGCCATGGGTAAACCTAAGCTGTTAACGAAAAGTTGACCCCGTGATTCCGAGGGAAGACAGACGTGCCCATCTGCTCCAATTGTTGTCGAGCCAGCTCAGACTCGAGGCTCACCCTATAGAACTGAGTGCAACAGCCCCAAAGTCTTCCAGTGTGAAAGCCTTCAGTGGTGAACCTGAAAATCTGAGGTTCAAAACCATCGTCCAGTCTGTTTGTCTAAAGGTGGACAACCTCTGCAAACCTTGGAAGTCAGTTCTCCTCTGTCCTACGGAGTCTCAGTGATGGACTTTACTCGAAGGCATAGGGTTTAGGTTTTGGTTTGGAATCTTTATGGAAACACATTGCAAAGTGTCCTCGCTTGGGAGAGCAGTTGAGGGGTTCAAACCAACATAATCAGCCGAGCAATTTGATCTCTGAGCCACCAAGATTCCTTTTCATGAA